TATATATATATATATATAAAACGCCATTTTCTTGACTATTTACTCTGATTGTTAGCAATTAAACCTGAAAAGCAAACCCTTAAAACATGCCTTGATGGCATCCAGATATTATGGTTCCACCTTATACCAGGCTTGTAGCAAAGCAGCCACTCTATGACAAGCAGGATGAATGAACATGCAGGGGAGGAGCAAGAGAGTGATTGTTCCTCCAGAACATACTATCTATACATGGAATTTTAAAAACACATTTAATGTAATATGTTGTCATGATATTTAAACTATGCTAAGGAGACATGATGAGAAATGCTATGGCAGTAAGGGTCATTTTCTTCAACTGACAACCAAAGCCAAATTTACCTTCTTCTCTCCCCAGCTTTAAACTGGTCTCAGGCCTTTAGATATTGAAGTGTGTTTTGTTGATGTTGTGGTTGATGTTGTTGTTGTTTTGTTTTGTTTCAATACTCAGTTTGAACCAGGGTATAACAAATGCTAGGCACGTCCTCTACCCCTGAGCTACATTCCCAGCCCTTAGAGGTGTCCTCTTGTTACATGCTCAATTCCCCTTATTGCAACCTGGTGCATGTGACACCATCAACAGCAGAGGAGAGAAGCTAAGTCCTTGGGGTTTGAGAAGTGTCCAGAGGACAAGGCAGAATAGACTACACTTCACCAATGATGGCCAGAACCTCACTCATTCCGGCTGTTTCCCCCAAGGAAACTATACCTGGTCTGGTGCTGAGATCATACCAGAAGTCCAAGGATCACAGTCTTTGAAGTGGGAGTACATGATCAATCCAGAGAAGACAGCACACACCAGAATGATCCAGAGACCCAACAAGTTAAAGTACAAGGCACTAGAAGAGAGCAATGAGCCAACTGGTCACCTCTATGCCATGTCACAGTGTAGAAAGGGCACAACCAAAGACTCTAGGTTAATTTCTGAGGAGTCCTTTAGCTCTCAAGAATCATTCGATTATATACTTTTGCATCTGTGAAAGTGTCTTATATTTTTAGACTACTTAACAAATGTGAATAAGGTAAGATTTTAGATGGATAAATGGAATCTCTTTTAAATTGCAATGGTTCCCCCTCCCACCTTTTGCAAAATCTCAGTATGTGTGGTATAAGATCTATTCTCTTGGATAAAATTCCACATACCAATCTCATTATATAACTTTAAGTGATTTTCCCCCCTACTCAATTCAGAAAACTGTCAAAAAAACAACTTACATTTTAACATCTTTTCTTCCAGAGGGATAATGAGATAATGTAGAAATAGACAAGTTATGGAAATATTCACTTTGGTGATTAATTCAGATGAAAGTTTAAGTTGAATTTTTTAAAGATGCTACAAAGTATGAAAAACTTAACATCCTCTTAACCATACTATTTGGAGCTATTCATCTTATTCTATAAGTCACAAGCATGCATAATTCCAGTTGGGAGATTTTGTAGAATCCTATGGTTACTTCATATCCATTCAGTCATTTGAAAGTCAGAAGCTTTCTCATATTCTTTTTTAAATGTTCAAATCATTTTTGTTAGTTTATTTTAATTATAAAGAATGATGGGTTTCATTGTGGCATACTGATGCAGTCATATAACACAATACTATCAATTTTACCCTGGCCTCCTCCCTTTCCTATTCCCTTTCTTCTACTGTATTGGTATCCCTTCCATTTTCATTTTATTCCTTTCTTTCCATTCTGGCTCCTACGTGTGAAAGAAAACATATGTATTTCATTTTCTGAACCTAACCCACTTTGCTTAACATGATGCTCTACAATTCCATCTATCTTTCTGCAAATTATATAATTTCATTCTTCTCTATGGCTGAATAAAATTCCACTGTATATATGTACCACATTTTCTTTATCTATTCATTTATTGACAGATACTTAGGCTGAGGACATAACTTGGCTATTATGAATTGTGCTGTGATAAACATGGGTATGCATATGTCTTTAAAGTCGCTGACTTTAATTCCTTTGGATAAATATCAAGGAGTGGCATAACTGAATCATAGTGTTGTTCTGTTTTTATTTTTTTGAGGAGCTTCCATACAGATTTCCATTGTGGTTATATTAATATACAGCCTCACAAATAATGGATAAGAATTCCTCTTTCCCTATTTCTTCACCAACATTTATTATTGTTTGTATTCATGATGATTATCATTATGCTTAGAATGAGATGAAATCTCAGCATAGATTTAATTTTCATTTCCTTGACAGATAAAGATGCTGAACCTTTTTTTATATATATTTGTTAGCCATCTGTACTTTTGAGTAGTTTCTGTTCAGTTCACTTGCTCATTTACCAAATAAGTTATTTAGTTATTAGCATTGAGTTTTTCAGATTTTTTTTATATAGTCTGGAAACCAATTCTTTGTCAAAAGAGTAGATGGCAATGATTTTTCTCCCATTATGTAAGCCATGTCTTTACTCTGTTAATTGTTTTCTTTGTTGTTCAAGAGCTTTTTAATTTGATACAATCCCATTTGTCAATACTCACTACTATTTCCTGAGCAACTGGAGTTCTATTCAAGACATTTTTACTGTGCCTACATGTCGAAATGTTTCCCCTGTGTTTGATCTCAGAGTCCCAGAGCTACTGGTCTTACACCTAGATCTTTTATCCATATTGAATTAACTTTAATATGGAGTAGGAGAAGGATTTCATTTCATTCTTCCACTTTTATATATTCAATTTTTGTAACATCATTTTTAAAACAGGTTTTCCTCTCTTCACCATATATTTTTGGCACTTTGTCAACAATCAGATCACTACAGATGTGTGGGCTGGTCTCTGTCTTCTATTCTATTCCATTGAAATATGACAATATCATGCTGTTTTTGATGCTATGGCTCTGTATTATAAATTGAAACTGGCTATTGCAACACCTCAAACATTGCTCTTTGTGTTCAAAACTACTTTGGCTATTCTGGATATTTTGTTCTTTGATATAAATTTTAGGCTTATATTCTCTGTGTGAAGAATATCTTTGGTAATTTCATGGAGATTGCATTTGATAATATGTTTATTTTACAGTACTAATTCTGCCTACCCATGCATATAAGAGGTGTTTTCATCTTCTAGTGTCTTCTACTTCTTTTTTTTCAGTGTTCTGTAATTGTACTTGTAGACATTTTTTCACCTTCTTCATTAAATATGTATTCCTAGGTATTTTACTTTTTTATAAAAAAGCTATTGTAAAATGAAATAGTTTTCCTAATTTCTTTTTAAAAAGATTCATTATCAGTATATAGAAAAGCTATTGATCTTTATATGTTGTTTTGCATCCAGCTACTTTATCATCTCTGGGATTCTTCTGGTGATAAATTCCAAGTCTTCTAGGTATAAGATCATATTATCTGCAAACAGAGATAATTTGACTTCATCTATTCCTACTAGTATCCTTTTATCTATTCCTCTTCCCAAATTGTTCTGGCTAAAATTTTAAGTAATATGTTGACTAGGAGTGGTGAAAGTGAACATCCTTGACATGTTCTTCATATTAAAGGAAATGCTTTTAGTTTCTCCCCATTAGTATGATATCAACTTTGGATTTGACATATATAGTCATTATGATGTTGAGGTAAGTTCCCTCTATCCCTAGTTTCTTTATTGTTTTCATTAAGAAGTGATGTTCAATTTTCTCAAATGACTTTTCTGCTCTTATTGAGATGATAATGTGATATTTATCTTTACTTCTATAATGAATTAACATTTATTGATTTATCTATGTTGAACTATCTTTGCATCCCTGAAATAAAACCAACTTGAATGTGATGTGTGACAACTGATGCATTATTGAATATTTGCTAATATTTTATTAAGGAGTTTTACATTTATATCCATCAAAGAAATTGGTCTGTATTTCCTTTTCTTGAGTGTTCTTATTGAGTTTGGCTATCAGGTTGATAGTGGCTTTGTAGAATGAGTTTTGAAGCATTTATCCTTTTCTAATTCATGGGATAATTTGAAGAGTGCTGGCATTAATATTTAATAATCTAGTATAATACAGCTATGACTCCATTTGGTCCTGGGCTTTTCTTTGTTGGAAGACATTTTTGTCACTGCTTCAGTCTCATTGATGAATTCATCATGTCCTGTTGTTCTAATTTTGGTAGATCATATATGTCTAAAAAATTATCCTTTTATTAAATATTTTTATTTTATTGGAATATAAGTTTTCAAAATAGTCTATAATGACCCTATAGATTTCAGTTTTGTCTGCACTAATATTTCCATTTTAATCTCTAACTTTATTTAGGTCTTCTGTTTTGTTTTCATTATTTAATGCTACTTTAAAAAACTGATTATAGTTTCAAAGAACTAACTCTTCCTTGATCCTTTTTACTATTCTTTATGTTTCTATTTCTTGAATTTGACTGTGATCTGTATTATTTCTTTCTATTACTTTTGGTATTGGTTTGCAAATAAGCAGTTCAATTATTTGAGATTCCTCTGCTGTTTTATGCAGGCATGTATAGCTATAAACTTTCCTCTTATAACAGTTTTTACCATACCCCAAAGCTTCTCGTATATTGTGTTTCCAGTTTTGTTTAATTCTAAGAATTTTAAAATGTCCACCATGGTTAATTGTATAACCCATTCATCATTCAACTGTATTGTTCAATGAATTCTCCATGGATTTGTATAGTTTCTATAGCTTTTCTTGCTGTTAATTTCTAATTTAATTCATTAATATATTAAAAGAGTATGAAACTAAATCTTTTTTATTTGCTGAGATTTTATGCCTTAAAATATGATCAATTTTGGAAAAACCAGTGCTAAAACGGAAGCTTATTCAGCCATTGTTGGATAAAATATTCTGTAGATATCTGTTAAGTTGTTTTTTCAATAATATAATTTAAATCTAATGTATTTTTTGTGTGTAGATGACTTATTAGTGAGAGTGATACACTGAAGTCTCCCACAATTATTGCATTAGGCCCATTATACCCTTTATATTAAGTAATGTTTGTTTTATGAAATTGGGCAAACTGACATTCAGGGCATAAATATTTATAATTGTCATATCTTCTTGTTGCAGTGTTCCCTTTACCAATATGATAAAACCTTTTTTGTCTCTTCTGACCAGTTTTGTCTTAAAGTCTTCTTTGTTTGACATGACAATAGGGACTCTGCTTACATTTGGATTTCATTTGCATATGAAATCATTTTCCATCATTTTACTTTTAGTCTGTTGATTTATTTGCCTGTGAGGTGTGTTTCTTGGAGACAACATTCAGTTGGGTCTTATTCTTCAATCCCATCTTCCAATCTACATGTTTTAACTGAGGAATTAAGACCATTGATATAAGTGTTATTATAGAGCAGCATGTATTATTCTTGTCATTTTTAAAATTTAACATTTGATTCATTCCTAATTATCATATGCTTATTTATTTTTCTAATGTGATTTATCATTTACCATATTCTCTTGGTTATTTTTTATCTACCTCTTCTTTGTGTGGGATTCCTTTTAGTATCTTATGCTGTGCTAGATTAATGGTTGCAAATTCCTTTAGTTTGTGCTTATCTTGGAACATTTTTATTTCTTCTTCAATTTTGAAGGCTGACCTTTTCTGAATATAGTATTCTGGGTTGATTGTTGTTTCTTTCAGGACTTGAAATACATGGTCGTTATCTATGTCATCATGATGCATCTGCTGTTATTCCAATGGGTTTGGCTTTATATGTGATTTGGTGCTCTTTTATAGCTTTTAAATTCTTTCTTTCTTCTGAACTTTTTAAATTTTAGCTAAATTAAATTTTTGAAATTTTAATATAAGGTTTTATGTTCTGTCTAGGTGGGATTGTAAATTCATAACATTAACCAAAGAATTTTATAATTTTACCAGTCAACTATGAGAGATGAGAAACCAATGGGAAGATTGTATAGAATGTTAGTCCTGGTGTTTCAAATATGTTTCTCATTATAAATGGACTTTAATTACATACAAAATAAATTCTCCTGTTTGCCAAGTGCAGAACTTCATTGATTCCATAAAATATATTTACCAGGCAACTTTATGTGTGTACATGTACTCATTTTAGCTATGGATAGGATGTGATGGGAAGGGCCCCAATATCCTGCACCAACTTCCCCTACTTCCATAGCACCATTTATTTTTAGTAGTCTTGAAAGATACACTAGGGCCTAAAGGAAAAAAATGTCATTTAAATGACTTTATTAGTGATACTATTTCTAGGTTCAAGGAAGATCTGGCTTAAAATAAATTTGTCTTTGGTTAAGTAATCAGTCTTCTTGGTCATCCAATTAACTGCCCATATAATGAGCCACTCCTGGTTTTAGCTTGAAGCCACATTTAATATGAACTTTATGTATCTATTTCTGCTTGCCTATTTTGCAGGATGTATTTTTCCCAAGTAACAGATTTTTTTTCTTATTCCCCATTGGAATGTTTCAACTACATTAGTCTTCAGATAATTGAGCAAAAACAGAATATTTTGCTCAGCATTGGGCAAAGTGTGCTCAAAGATGGTGAGAGTCCTCCTCTGATCCTGAGTGGCCCCCCACAGGTCCAGAAGTACCCCTGAGAAACCCACTATTTCCTCACTACAACAATCTCTCCTCCAGCTATGTCTACTTAAATGTACATATCACTAATGATTAAATCACCATAGGTTCTCTCAGAAAAGTTTTTCTTAAATAGATTTTATTTTTTTTATCTTTCCTTATCAAAAAAAAAAATCCATCACAGCTCTATCCCTTTGTAAGATTGGGAATGGACAGAATCTGGTGACAGTCCTGCATGCTTAGAAAATTCTGTAAATTTTTTTTCATGAGTATCTCTTCTTTATTACAATTTTCATACACACCTAATGCTAATACAAGATATTCAAGTTCCACGCCAGTGTATGAATGAGATTTCACTGATGTATGTTTCAATCAAACAAACCTACTAAGTGAGGCTTAGAGATACATACATAAAAATGTATACATATACATGTGGTGTATACTCACATATATTATCTTCCTAAATGTATGTGTGTTTACACACACAAGCATTCTTGAAGCTTCTTAAAGCATTACTTTGTTTAATAAATGATGATTTTTTAATAAGCATAAAACATTAGTCTTCACCTTGTAGGGAAAAATGATGAAAAAGATATAATTGCTAATTTTCAAGTACCAGTAGTATAGTATAGTATAGTATAGTATAGGGAGAAATTAAGCACGTGAACTAGAGAAACTAATATCCATAAGATTAAAAGAACTAAACTTAACAGAGAACTATTGTGTGTTTCACCAAAGGATTTGTCTCTTCACAGATACATCCAATTCTGGTTTCTCTTAAGACAGTTTGTTAATGAACTTTAATTTAAATAAGTTTTAAGATCAAAGCCACCTCCATTTTCAGTAATGCAACTGTTTGATAAAATGATGATCATGTGTGTAAAGGGTTTGTGATAATAGTATTTTATAAGATTGGAATATTTTACCAGTGAATTGATAGAACATTGGGTAATGTGTTCACTTCCCTATGAGAGTTATGAAATATGTAAGTAGTAACATCCCAGTTCTCCTTCTGGAACTCAACTCACAAAATGGTTTAATCATTTCAAGAAAGTTTTATGTTTTATTCAGTGCAAATAAGAAATTGTACATTGAAAGTATTTTAAAATCATGTGGGGAATATTCATAATGACATTTTCACTAAGAAAAGTTTAGGGCATCTTGACAAAGCTAGGGTGCTACAGCCTTAGGCAGCAGCACTGGGGACAAGACATCATTTTAGATGCAACTCTGGTTTTCCTACAAGCTTTTTGAGAGAGTATTATAACTGCCCTTGGTGTCCATTCCAGAGTGCATGATGTCCTGAAGTGCTAGAAAGAGGCTTGACAAGGTGTGCCTCTCTGTTCATGTCCTGTAGACGGCCAATCTAGTAAGAACAGAAGTGGCTACAGTCCCTTTACAGTTTGCCACATTGTTCTAGGTTCTCTTCTTTTTAAACTCTCCTTGGAAACTGTAAGGGTAAGTACATCTGTTAAAATAAATTAAAATTTAGGCCTCTCCTACAGAATCTCTAAACAGTCCGGCCTCATAAGGGAGTTTAACATAACTTCATTTGTAAACACAGGTGAAGCTTCACTTGAACTATTTCTTCTAAATGTCTACATTAAAGAAAAATGAAACTCAAAGCTAACCACTAAGAAACCACCAACCAACTTTTAGAACTAGGGATACTACAGAAGAACGGAACAAATTAAGGCAGCTGTATAACTATGACCAATCAAGTATTTTCTTTCTTTACTTCGGTGTTCATTCTTCAAGAGCTTCCCCCTTTGAAGTCCCTCTGTGGAATCCCCAAAACACTTCTAAGCATCTTGAATTGTGAATTGTTATTTTTTCAAATAAACATTTTAAATTTTATTGTGCCTCAATTTACCTCTTAACACAACAGAAAATAATTGAGCAAGCCACAGGCTGACCCATGAGAGCCATTTCATCATGGCAACTGTGAGCAAGAAACACAGGTATTTATCTCTGCATCACTACCCACAGCAAAGGCAGGTTGACTTCATTCAAACTCCAACTCAGCCACTTTGCTGAGATGGGAATAGTAATGCCTAACTCACAAAATTTATGAAAAGTTTAAATAAATCTTGCCATTTCTCTCCCTCTTTCACATACATGCACAGCTGTAGAAAGCATATAATAAGAACTCAATAAAGTGGAAGAAATTATGGAATTTTTTTTGATTAATAACTTACAGCTTAGCATGCTTCTCTGTTTTGCAAGAGATGCATCGCTGGATGGTTGATTGATTAACTCCATAGATTCCGAGCCATGTAAAAGTTCCTCCCACTGCTATTGTCCACAAAGTGTGCCGCCGGAGGGGATCTACATCAAAACTGTGAAACAGTGAAGAAAGTGAATCTCAATTCATTCAATGCTTAGAATTATTAGTTGATGAGGCCATTCAATTAAATCTTTATAATGCCTTAAAAAGTAGCATTGGACATACTCAACTATATGAAGTCGGGATCCATTGCTTGCTTGCTCTAATACATTTTGTAATCCACCATTGTGAGCCGATCCTTGAATGAGAACTGTTAAGAAGCCCACAATCATGACAATCATCTGAAACGCATCTGTCCACACCACTGCTTTTAATCCTCCCTAAAATGAACAGAATGATGTAAAGTTTTAACAGCAAGGTCTGTAAAGCTCCCCACTCCAGACAGTTTCCCTACTAATGTAATCATTTCATTTGTTCAATAACAGTTGCTGAGTATCTTTTATGTGTCAAATTTTTTGTTAAACATGAGAATGAGTTGTAAGTGAAAAATATACTAACCACTAAGAAACCACCAACCAACTTTTAGAACTAGGGACACTACAGAAGAACGCAACAAATTTAAGCAGCCGTATAACTATGTTTCTTCCTTAATTTCATTGAGCTCAAAATCTAATGGAAGAAGTAGATGTCTGATAGTAATATGACAACTTAAAATTATGGAACATACAATTAAGAACAGGTTACTATTGGAGCATACAGCAGGAAGTCTTAACCAGTTCTTTCAGAGTGATAGACAAGCTAAATTCTGAAGAATAAGTAAAAATTTGTCAGGCACAGAAGACCAAGAGGGGATCAAACCAACATGTATAAAGAAAGAAGAAACATTGGTCCTCAAGGAAATGAAAGAAAACTTGGATATACACAATCAAGCTGTGGAGAGCCTAAAGGGGGAACCTCTGAATTCTCTCAAGGTCAAGCAGATAGATATTGATAAGTACACTTAAATAATTCACAATTGCCAGGAAATATCATTAAAAAGAGATTGATAAGAGGGTTTTTTGGTAATATTTCCATTGGTGGTTGTGTGGATAATGAATTGTAAGACTACAGAAGACAAGGTGTCAGGAGAGCAGCTCAGAGTTTATTCCTGAAGTCCATACCCAAGATGGTCAACAGTTTGAAGTAGGGTAAGGGTATGGATTTGAAGAATATTCAAGAAATAGCTTATGATTCCTTAAATACAGGCAATTAGATAAGCATGGGAATTAAGAATAATCTCTTGGTATGACTTGTATAACTTGGACTCTTTTTTTGTTTGTTTTTATGAAACTAGTGGCAGTGAAAACACTTTGGGAAATGGAGATAGTCAAATACTGAGAAAGACTAAAAACCTAGAAAGGAATGTTGGATTCTATATATCCATGAAGGAAGGAGTTTTAAGAGCTACAGGATGATCCAGTAGGAAGGTGAAAAAAATTAGAGTTTAAGGAAGGCAAATTTAGTAGTAAAATTTGTATAGAATAATTATGCAAGATGTCAGAGCAGTGGTTATGAAGCCTCGTTTCCCTCTAGAATCACCAGAGGGATTTAAAAGGGTTTCTGAATTAATTGAGGTCTGTATTAGGGGTTTGTCCTCAATGTCTTTTGAAACTCCCTAATGGATTTTAATGTAGAATTTTAGCTGATAACCTGAGGATAAGAAGAAAGGAGGAAAAAGAGACTGTTGCATTTAGTGTTCCATGTATAGAAGTCCTTAAGAATCCCAACATACAGAATGCATAGAATCCCACGATAGTGAAGATGGGGTGAGCTAATAGGGAAAAATTAAATGAAGCAATATATTTTAAAAAGTGGGGTTTTTTTTAAATGAAAAGCTCTAGGTAAATGAAGGATGTGATATTTTTAACACTGAAAAGTAGAATTATCATCCCCAGTTACTCCTCCAGAGTGTCAAGAACTTCTGTGAAAAGATGACATGCTTTATCTTTAACTTGAGAAGAAAAAAAAAACATTTTTGATGATGATTTTCCCATCATTCCTTTTGTAATTAAAAATAAAATTTGATTAAAAAAAACAAAAAAAATCCCTGATAAAGGCATGTATTAGTCTAATATATTATCTAAATCATGTTTTGAGAAACAATAAAATTTTTACCTCCTCCCTCCTAGATAGTTCTATCTTGATTTCCTTTAAAGATGTTCTGCTTTCCAATCTCAAATGTCAATTTTAGATTTTAGTCACATGAAGACCCAATACCCAAGGCTTCAGTATTCAGAGATTATTTGGCATTGGTTATGCAAAAATTTGCACAAACTTGAGCATTAGCTACACATGCAAAAAACCAAACTCCTTTATCAAGTAGTTGTTGAGTCAGATTACAGTCACCATGAAGTTTTCTGTGACTCCTGTATACAGCAAGTCTCTGTCTCTTCCCTGGGGGCTCCTCTCTCTCATCAAACTTTGTTGATTTGAATCTAATGTCCACCTCACTAAATGGCAAACCTCTGGATGGTAGGAATCACTTATTTTTAAAATACTTCCCTCTGGTTATTTTCCACATGGATCATCCACTAGAGGATCACAATAAAGAGCTCACAGTAAGAACGCAGGTATTAGATAAATAGGCCCCATGCTGGTGAGACACAGAAGCCTCTAGCATGGCTAGAGAGGAGAGATGGCACAGAGGTGCGGTGAGGCAAACTGAGATGGGCAGATTGGATTCACTTCATGAAATATTTTCAACTCTAGGTTAACAAGCTTTTCTTTATGCTGAAAACAATAGGAAGCAAGAAGAGAATTAGGCTACTGAAGTGGCATAAAGAAATACATGTCTGAGGAAGATTCATCTGACAGAGGCAAACAAAGAATGGAGACATGAAGCCAGTTAGGAGGTAGTAAATTTAATTCATTTTATTCATTAAAACGCTCAGACTCTTTTTTAATATTGTACTATAAGGGGTCTCAACTTTTTCTGTGCCTGTTTTTCTCTTTCCTGCACATGCTTAGATCAATTGTTTTTATTTAAATTCCATTTTTTTTTTCATTTTGATTGTTTTATTTAAAGAGGTTCCCTTGAAATTTTCCCATACATTTTAAATTTAAGAGTGAAAAACTTAATGCCATAGACCCCAACAATTCAAATGGTATAAACCTATAAACTTGGTTATTCGCTTCCTGATTTAGATGCTACTGTTGGACAATTTGGGACTTGTTCTTTTGCTTAATCCCAAAATTATATAAAAGCAAGTGACCGATTATTATTCATATATTTATATCATAAATAATATATACCATTTAATATTGTAAGGAAATACAATATTAAATAACAACTGACTAGAATTACTAAATATTTACTTCAGGTATCCTATATCCAAAATGTTTGCAACCAGAAACGTTTCAGATTTCAGTGTTTTTTAGATTTAGGAATATTTGTATGGAATTTTTCAGCTGAATACCCTTAACCTGAGAAATCCAAAATTTGAAATACAAGCTCCAAAATCCAAAATTGTTTGAAGATAATGTCTACACTCACAAAGTTTCACATTTTAAAACATTTTGGATTTTGGAATTAGGGAGTTCTTCCTGTATTTTATTTCTTGATCATGACTTTTTCCACTTAAAACTGGAACAAACTTAAACTTAAAGCTGTTAGTGACAAATTCTCTTGGTTCTTGACATTCAATTCTTGAAAGACAGTTTTATTGAAAATACAACTATAGTTGACAATTATTTGTCCTCATGTGTTTGAAAATACTATTCCAGTATCTCTGGCATCTACTGTGGCTGCTGGCTCTTGCTCAAGTCTTTTTTTTTTTCATACCTACTATTCTATAATTTCACTAATACATGCAGATCTTTCTTTTTTCTTTTTATTCCTTAAGTTCGTACTTTTCATTAATTCTATGGATTTTTTTCTTTTAACAGTTCTGAAAATTTTTTGAGTTACAATTTTTTGAGATCTCCTTCATTCTTTCTGTATTATTCTGAGACTTTAATTACACATAAATTAGATGTTCACATTTATCTTTTATATGACCCCATTTCTCTTTCATTTTTGCATCTCTTTGTCTTTCTGAAATATTCTGTCATTTCTTCAGATATATCTTCTGGTAAAGAAATTGTATAACTTTTCAAATGTATCTGCTTTTATCATAATTGGTATATTGTTGATTATTGCTGATGCTTGCTTGGCTTTGAAATTGTATTCTTTCTTTATTTAAGTTCTTTTGGAAAATCTATTCTTTATTCAGTATCTTGCAATGCCAATGTATGCTAATCCTGACAGGCTAAATCTCATCTGTTGTTTTGCTAATATTCACTCATAGTATCTTGCTATACTATAGTGTTAATGTGATAGGAAAAAAATGATGAAGATAAAACTTTAAATGTGTAGAAATTGTGGAATTTTCAAGTATGAAAAAGAGAAACAAGGGCAGTTTAAATTGTATATTATCATATATTTGTTACAAAATATACGTGTTGTAAGCATATTCTACTCTATGATAATGTATCAACAATTTTACTTTTCTTTGTAAAGGAGGAAGGAGAATCCCTCTATCTGGGAACCACCACCATATTCTTAATTGGTTACATTTAGCCAGAAAATGGTATGATGAGTCAGAAGAATAAAACCTCCAGTTGCAGGGGATGGGCAAATAATAAGTGCTCAATGACCCTTTGTTAAAATCAACTAATTGTAATAATTGTACGAACATGCTATCAATACCAGCCAGATTCCTTGATTAAAAAATAAGCATGTGTAAAGACAAATGTTAAATATAATCTAAGTTATCTATAAATGAGGGACAAAATAACTGTGGAATCCTCATGTTTTTAAAATACTAACTATCCTTGCTCACTCATGCATGTATTTTGCTGCTTCTCAACTGACAGACAGTGAACAATAAAATGCTACCTATGATTTATGAAAACTGTTAAGGAGAAAACTATTCTTAGAAGTTGCACAGGCTCACCTAGGCTCTGTCCTCTGATCAAGGAGGTATGTCTTTTATTAGATCAACTTTCATTAGGAATAACATACTTGAGTGAACTCAGACTTCAAATTTGCCTAATGTCTGATTTAAAAGAAGAAGAAGAAGAAGAAGAAGGAGAAGGAGGAGGAGGAGGAGGAGGAGGAGGAGGAGAGAAACAGCACCTTCCTCAGGAAACTAAATTTTAAAACTTAAAATTGCTGTTTAATTTGGGAATATCAATTACAGCTGTAATTTGAAGTCCTGCTGCTGGAAATTTGCCCTTATTCCAAATTAGGAGGAGTGTTTAATATTTTTCCAACTAGATACATACCAGGGTACAGTAGAATGTGCAAACAATTCCTGTTGCAAACACAGAGCCCCAGAGATCAAACCCAGTCACTATGAAAGGAGAAAAAAACATTAAAAGAAATTTCTCTGAGCTAAGTAAAAGAGAAAATTTTATGAGGAAAAAGTCACAGTAGTTTTTGCAGTGTTTTTTTTGTGGACAAAAATAAATCAAATTCATTTTCTCTCATTGAATTTTCTCAGCTCTGATAAAGATTATTTTTATTACATTTTTATATCTTAAACCAATCCATAAAATTCATGTACTATTTAATTTTTTTTCTCCTAAGATTCCTTAATTTCCATCTTTGGTTCAAGTGATTTATGTCTTTTGTTTTGTCTTAATGAAATTTGAATAATCTAAAACCACCTAGGCATCCATGAGGAATTAAAATTTCTCAGTATAAACACATAGCCCAACTAATTAGAATATTAAGGATTTTCTGTTGAAAGTGGCAATATCATTGCAAAAAAAAAATCACTCTTGCTTCTAAGATTCTATTTTCTTGAAAGTATCAACTATTCATCACAGTATGACTATTACAGGCAACTTTCATTCTTGTGCTCAGATTGTGTACTTTATGAAGTCACTGAAACATGACCACATATAGAGGATCTTACTTAGCAGTTGTACACATATAACCCCCAGAATACCATCATTTCTATGATTAAAAAACAAAATGAAAAACCCAAACGATGACAATGATTGAACTGGGTGTTTAGAACTACCCAGTTTTGCAAGGCAAAGTCCAATAACTAATTGTTTGCATTATTTTCTATGTCAAATCAGCTTTTAGAGCTTTATGGAGTGACTACTATAGTAATTCAGAGCATCTTAAGCAGAGTGATATTCTTCTAACAGGGTATTTTATATACATTTGTTCAAGTTGAGAATTCAGGCATAAAAGTAGTAGACTATGTCCATGGGAACATAGAAGACTCACCTTGATTGAGTGCCAGGGCGGGAGCATATACCACCACACCTGTGTAGAGAATCTGGTAGAGAACAAGAAGGAGGTGAGTAGCAGTGGGGAGAGCCATGGAGGGAAAACTGCCCAGAAGCTCTTTATTGACCTTCCTCCAACGTGCTCACCAAACATTCCCTTCTCATCCACTTTCATGTTGAAGTAATTTAACACTGTAACTAATTTGTAGAAGGGATGTAATCATGAGATGGGAGAAGAGGGGTGGATTTTCAAGATGACTGCTCATTTTGAGATGTCATCGTTATATTTGGTGTATTTTTAAAGAATACAAAAACACAGGCTTCGAGTTCAGCTTTTGATTCAACTTCCCTCTGCCCACTCCCCTCATGTGCCCATCACAAAGGGTTCTCTGCCGACTTCATGAGAAACTTTACTAAAGAACAGAAGTACATTTCAGCAGTTTGCTAAAATATGGACTTTAGAGTGGAGATTAGGGAGGTGGGGGAATGTGAGAGGAAAAAACTCTAAGGAAGACTGAAACAGGGGGACCGGTATGTAATGAACACCATCTAATTCACAGACTTGAACTGTGATTGCTACACTGCTGTAATGGGTTCAGTTCACATCTTATTTTAAATGGACTTCCACCATTTGGAGATGGCATCTGAAGGTTTCGACAGCAAATATGCGTAGGCAGTTCAAGAGGCATCGTTTTCTTCTTATTCTCTTGCTTAAATCCATCTGGCATCAGTGGGAACTCTAATTATGAAGGAAGGTTATCTTGTAGAAAAGAGCACTTGGTTAATGGGAGGAAATTCACTACTGTGTCCAGGCTAAGCTTGGGGAGCATGAAGACGCCCCAGAGCCTGGCGGGTGGGAAAGGAGTGCAGGGGAGGAATTAGGTATTTTGGTTAGGAAAATTGTTTTAAAGTGACCTTAAAACAACAACTACAACAACAACAACAACAACAAAACAAAACAAAAACAGGCATTTCTGGTTCAGCTCAATTAACCATTAAAAAAAAAAAGAAGAAGAAGAAAATAATTGGCTATCAGATGTTTTATATTTAATGCTTGTACAGGTTAAATAATAGTAAAATATACTTGTAGCAATTTTTTCCCTTTTGTGACTTATATACTTGTTCTTATTATTAGTCCATATGTATGGATTTTAGCAATGTGAATGGCTCTCAAGGTAATCACATTTCTTATAAATGCTATCTTTGGAAGAAAGTAGTGACTTCTTAGTATTGTTTGACCTTTAGTTGAGTTACTTGGCCCATTAAAACAAACAAACAAATAAACAAAAAAAACACCGGTAAATGTATCTTGGAACCCCTGGTTCCCACTTCAGCCACTGTCCCTTACCGTCTGCACAATGTAGATGACAGTTGCTGCATAGCGAACCACTTTGTTGAATCGTAGTTGTAGATACTAGAGGGGACAGAGACAGAGAGAGACAAGAGCAGTTAAGGAGGTCCTTGTTTGACTTGGTATTCCTCAGAGTTTAGTGCTTTAGACTTACAGTGTGATTTATAGTAGGTATTTCTGGATAAAACATAGATTGTTAAAAGTCAAACATATAATAAAACCCAATTCATGCTCATGCTTCTCGTGATGGCCGGAGAAGATAAGTTGGTTGCTTGAATAAAACACAGGCCTTCTGACTTTCTGCCCAGGTATTTTCCTACTACAGTTTCTCTTTATGTCCCTAAGTTCCATATTTATCTCAGTATTTTATTCTTTTCTGGATTACTGCTGTAACCCTCTGGTTGATCTCCCAATACCAAGACTAGTCCATGCTTTTTGTCACCTCATATCTGCCACCATCATTATTAAACAATGTGCTCACCTGGGCACTTTTTTTTTCCTCAAAAACTTTAGTGATTTTTGACAAAAAAAAAATTTCCACATCTCAAGATTGATATTCCATCCCCTCTTTTGTCTGACTCAAACCTACCTTGCTTATGGCATACCACCTTTCGTTTGTGAAGGCAGAATTTTCAATGTAAGAGTCTTTCCCTTCAAATTTCAAATTTGTCTCCAAGTTCTTCATCATTTCTCAAGAAAAACGGTTCAATGGCTATTCTTATTCTTCTTAGACCCTCTGTTCTGAGTTCCTACAGCACATATGCTGAACCATTTTCATGGTTACCAGTCTCTGGTAATTTGGTGCTGGATTTACTTATTTAAAAGTTGTCAGTGGATTAGTTACCTATTGGTACTGCAGCAGATTAACACCAATTTGGAAGCTTAAAGCAATAGAAATGTATTCTCTTGTATTACTGAAGCCCAGAAATCCAAAGTCCATTCACTGAGCCAAAATCAAGGTGCTGGCGGGTTGTGCTTCCTCAGGAGTCTCTAGGAAGAATCTGTTTCCTGTCTCTGAACCTTGTGGTCATCCTAAATTTCCATTCTAGTACTCTAATCTCTGCCTCTGTAGTCACTATGCCTTAGCTTCAGTCAAATTTCTCTCTGTCTTACATAAAGGTACATGTGATTGTATTTCTATTTATGGTATACTTGGGTAATGTAAGATATTAATTTAATCACATTTGTGAAGAACCACTTCTTCCCTTTTTTGGACCATCTGAGATATTACAGGTTTGGGGTATTAAGGATACACATGCATGTGCATGCACCCCCCACCCCCCACACTCTTGGGGGCAGTGATTCTTTTTTAACCAAATTTACTCATGCTGACGTATGTACATAGTGTTCTAGTTTACTCATTTTTATCTTCGTAATTTGTATGCTGATTCATTTAATATATACTTGTTTTCTGCTTTCCACATTGCATTCATATGTACAACAAGAAACAAATAAGATAGAGTTTACATCCTAGAAGACCTTACAGATTAGATAAGGCAATTATTAACAAATAGTAATAAAAATAAAATTGCACCTTTAATAGTATTCAAGGAAGAGCTACAAGAAGCTGTGAACCCACTCAACAGCAAGGTGTGAGTCACTGCTGGAGGTCAGAGAAGGTTTTTATGAGTATGTGTTCTAGATGATGTGAGTATATATCTTCCAATGCATATAGATAAGCAAAATAAATTTTAAAAGTAGCAAATGACTTGAGGATTCAGTTTCTTCATTATTGTTTTGCTTTTAGTATGTTGTCTTCTCTGAATTTAAGGAAAAACATTTTTATTAAATCATGGATTAACTAATGATTTATCCTTTTCCTAGAAAGGATATATAATGTTCCATGGCTTAAAATGGACCTTTCTTTGAAACAAGAAACTCTCGATAGAACTGTGACTCAGTTTCACACTAGCTCACACTTCAAAATTTACTCGTCCAGATGTCCAAATTCTCAGGTATAGAACCACTTTATTTTCAGGCCACTCTTTCCAGATGGTACAAGGAGACTGGGACTCGGAGTCTAGTCTGTGATTGTGAGACTTAGGAAACTGTATGTAAAGAAATATTCTTGCAGAGGTAGGGAAAGTCAATGAGGAGGCAAAAAACTCAAATATCACAGGATGGAAAACTTTTGTGATAATGACAGCTTGGGTTCAGACTGCATGCCTTTCAGAAAATAAGCTTACTACACTAAACCATGGGCTTCCCTTCCCAAGAGAGACACTTCAGAGAAGACAATGGCATAGTGTGTGACCAAGCCAAGGACAGGGCTAAGAATGCAGTGGGATCTTAGGACCATAGTCATCAGTGTGGGTGCAACAGGTACAGCTTATCGGCACTCAGTGTCCCAGTACATGTCAATGGCATCTAAATGCACCTGTTATTGTCTGTTGAAGGCTTTCTATCAGCCTTTGCTCCAGGAAGGTCAGAAGTGCATGGGGGTGTCATCATTGGCATTCAGCCAATGACTAAAGGGAGGTGGAGAGAAAATGCACTGGCTTTTGCCTTTCCAAAATGGTAACTCAGACACATTCTGTCCTGTCTTTCAGAGATCCCCAGTGAGACTGAATCCCAACAGATCACAGTTGGATTTGCTCAAATCCACACCTTGCACAAAAACACACCTTGTAAGGGTTTCCTCTCCTTCCAAAATTACTTTGCCACTTGCCTGCCAGTGCTTACTGGAATCAGTAATGATCCAAATGACTTCCATTCACACCTTATGTCAGGATCTGCCTTTGGGGAAATGCAAACTTAAGACAGTGATATTTATCTATACAATATAAAGCAAACTCTTTAATCACACAATGAACCCAGGATAGTCTTCTGGAGGATGAGACCAAATATAACACAAAGAAGCTGTCTCAGCCATGTTTCTCTAGAGCATCAGGCCCCTGGCCAACTCAGTACCTGAGTGAAGTCACAAAGACTGCCCACGTGAGCCAGCAGAAGAATCTTACTATTGTATGGGGCCCAGCTGAGGTAGGCAAAATGGTTTATCCCTGGAATTATGAAAAAATAAAACTGTTGTTTTTAAAAGTTGATTTTGGGATTGATATACTGCATGACAGTAGATAAATGATATAAAAATTAGTAACAAAGCAGGAAGATGTAACAAAAGCCAAAAAGTACATTATCTATTTTGGGAACTGGGTGGTTCCTAAGGCCTGGGAAAGCTTTCCTGGAAAATGGGAAAGCTGGGAGGAGCCTGCTGTAGGATCTGGAAGTCAATGGATTTTATATTTCAGTTTAGTTTTGGTCCATTCAGTAACACTAGAGAGGTGGTATTTGCAAAAGGGTATGTGCAAAAAGAAGTAGATCAGAAGTCAGAGTCCTTGAATTCTAGTTTCATATTTGCTGATATTTCATTCTGTAATTTAAGCTTCTGTTTTCTCATCTGCAAAGCAGAAGAGACTTTTCAACTGCCTTATTCTATATCTGAAAGAATGTATTCAATGAACGTGGCACACACCTTACTCTGAGCTACTTTGGAGGCTGAGGCCGGAGGATAGCAAGTTTGAGGAGAACCTCATCAACTTTGTGATGTCCTTTCAAAAAAAAAAAATTTCAGATGTAGCTTAGTGGTACTATGCAGTTGGATTCAATCCCAAGCACAAGCACACACACAAACACACACACACACACAAAAAAAAAAAGACAGTAAAAGATGTATTTTTCCTTTCAATGTATTTGTTCATACTATTAATAGTTGTCTTTGGTGGTATATAAGTATTAGTAGAGTAAAAAGAAAAAAAACAAAAGTTCAACAGCAAAATTGCATACTTCATGCCTGGTTTTTAAAGTATCAAGGGACATTTATTATCATCACAGTGATTGTTTTAGAATCCCAAATATGATCCTGCTGTATTCCATCTCAACAAGCAGCAACTTCACTTTTTCATGTTGATTTAAGTCCACATAACATAAACCAACATTTACTGCTTTCTCTCACTCTCATTTTCAATTCATGAAAGAATCCTGGTATATATACTCCCAATATAAAAACATATCCATTTGCATTATCTCTTATATAAACACAATATTAATATTTTCTCGTGGGCAGATTATGGAAACAGATTCTTAGTCCCATCTTCTACCATAGTCAAAACCTTCCAAAGTATTCTCAACATCCAGCTAGAGTAAAAATCTTAAAATATAAATTACATCATGTCATTCCTCTAACCAAATATTATAATGACCCATCTCACCAATAGTAAACGTTCATCTTTACAATGACCTAAAAGGCCTCATGATATGGGTTCACATCCTATCAGAACCTAAATACAACAAATATTTTAATACCATCTACTATGCTGAAATAATATTCAATGATAATATTATTTTAGACATTTGATTTATCAAAATACAAATATTGTCAGAATAATATCACAAAATATAATTTAGTGGAGAACCAAAAAAATTCACCAAAAAAATTATGTAATGAATAAGTGCTCAGAAACCAGTATACAAGAAGACAGTAAAGTCATAGTTTCTGCATAATGAAAAACTTTGTTCAGAAACTAAAAAGTAGTTCAGAAGCCATCAAGGCTAAGAAGTTCAAGAAAAATGAAAAAACAGATACTAACTTATAAACTAGTGTTCAGGGTAAATAGCAGGCTATATAATTTTAGTATATAAAAAAGATGGAGTTAACCTTGACTGAAATAGAGATAACACGAGGAGACTAATTATAAACTATCCAAGTAGAGATAATGAAAATGTATGATATTGCAAATGAGCTAAACTTAATTTATCCCATGGGGTGGGAATAAGTCCTTATGCTCTTTATTGGACAGGGTGGTGGGAAAGGAGCACACATGGCATCTCTTAGTCTTGAACTCCCACTGCATGTCAAAGCATTTAATCAGTTGGCTATTGCCATGCAACACCCACCAAAACCTGATGTGCTGAAAATCTAAAGAATTATTATTTATCACAACTGAGACAAACTGGTGTTCCTCTACCCATTTCACCAGGTTTCTTATGTGGCTGCAATTAGCTGGATGATCAACTGTGCCAGAGGGTCTAAGATGGCTTCACTCAGGTCTGGTAGTTGTGTCATGCACAGCCTGGTGTTGGCTGTCAGCTAGCAAGTCTCAGTTCTCCTTTGTGTGGCCACCTGAGTTACAGAGGCTAGACCAGTTTTGTCACTCTTCTTACATAGCAAAATCAGGGCAACATTCCAAGAGGGCAAAATCACTTACTTTCTTACTTAAATGCCCTATTAACGTGGAAATTTTATTTGATAGTAGCCCTCTATGAATTACATTCTCCACCCAAACTGGCATTCTTTCTCTTGTCATTTCATTTCTCTCTATTGCTATGGTAAGCAAAGTAGCACAATGATTAAGTATGTGATCTCTAAAGTTAGCTTATCTGGGTTTGAAAAACTCCCACTTGATAGCTGTGTGACATTGAGCAAATTACTTGGCTCCATGTGCCTCAGTTTTCTAGTCTATTAAATAGGACTTATGATAACAGTACGTATCTAAAAAGACTGTTTCAAGGCTAAGTTGAGACATAAAATACTTAGAGCAATGCTTAGCACTTTATCATGTAAATCTGCATTATGCTGTCTTAGGCATTTGTTGACAACCTTTGCTATAAAGTAAACATCATAAGGATAATTTGATTCTTTGCTATATTCCCAGGGCCTAAAGAAGTGCAGAGAACATAGCAGATATTCAATGGTATTTATTCAACAAATAGAAAGTCATAAAAATTATATTCCAAATGTGGGTAGACTTTTATTATTTAAAAAGGTGTGTGTGTGTGTGTGTGTGTGTGTGTGTGTGTGTGTGTGTGTGAGAGAGTTAGTTACTGGGGACTGAACTCAGGGCTTCAAGCATTCCGGGCAAGCTTCTACCACTAAACTACATCTCCATCTGAAAAGCGTCTTCACATTTAACTAAACCTTCATGAAAGATGGGAATTATTATATTCCATGTGGAAAATGGAATTGAGAAATGCTGAGTAACTTGCACACAAAGTGATCTTATTGGTAAGGAAAAATTGAACTTATATTTTCAGGCCCCAAGTTTTCTCTATTTCTCTCCTTAGCTGTTAAGTAGGCAGTTATTTTAATGCATAGCATTGCTTTAAAAAAATTAGCAATGTCTTTGTGAGTCAAATCTTGAAAGTTGAATGTAAATGCTTAGCACATAGTTATATTTTCAGAAGTATATTAATAAGCAAGGGAAATGTGTACATTCCTAGTACTAATCATAAATTTAGTTATTTTCTCTTGAATCTACACTCCAGGTTTTAGCTATTGAATGAACCAAATTTGAGTACCTTCTTTGGGAAGAAGAGGAAGTTAATGTTGACCAATTTGGAATATGATCATCTATGGAATCATAGGTTTTAAGACCTTCTAGAAAGTGTTTATTTGCTGATTGCATCCAGAAGTCAAGAGAATCATTTTATACACATTTAGTTTGCAAAATTGTTAAAGATAGGTCCTTTAGGGGCTGGGGATGTGGCTCAAGTGGTGGTGCGCTTGCCTGGCATGCGTGTGGCCCGGGTTTGACCCTCAGTGCCACATACAAACAAAGATGTTGTGTCCGCCGAAAACTAAAAAATAAATGTTAAAAAAAATTCTCTCTCTCTCTCTAAAAAAAAAAGATAGGTCCTTTATGAATCTTCTGCTGTAACTTAGTAGGGTGTGATATTGGATAATGGAAATAAATACCTTCTTCATAAAAACTTATTTGAGATCACAATTAAATTTTAGACATACAAATTCAATTTTGAACACAATGTTTTCATTGAGAATGCTTGCAAAACTCAAACTCCACTGTCTCATTTCCTCTCATTAAAATAATTCCCATATTTTTATTATTTAGAAATTTCTTCCAATTAAAATATTTGCTGATTTTTCAAAGTATTACCATTTCCTAATTAAATCTTGGGCCTTAGAAATAATAAGTATTAAAGTGCTCAGTTTACTGTCTGATGGGAATACCACTACAGAGGGATATAGACAATAGGTTCTCAGTAGACTTTGTGTACTATTAAATCATGACTAACTTATTTATTGGTATCTCCATTTTCTCAGCTGGAAAATTATAATACTTGTGGCATACATTTTGCTTATTTTTTCAAGATAATTATGCTAATAATAATAATACAAATAAGAACAACTCTGTTTTCTTAAGAACCTCCCACAATCTAGACAATGCATCAGGTATTCACATACAGGTGGTAATTTTATCATCCAAACAGCCCTGAAGGAGCCACACATCATCATTTCTATTCTACAAAGGTGAAAACAGGTATAGGTGTAGCCATAACTTAGGCTTTTCTCCAATACAATTTAATGTCTTTTTCATAATGTGTAATTGCTTTGAAAAAAAATCAGTGAGTGTTCTTCAACTACTGATCTTTGTTGCAAAGATGATGTGTATTAATAGAGGGGAAAACAGGATAAAAAATTCATTCAAGTGGAGAGAAATTACTTGAGCTCAAACAGAGAAGGGTGCAGTTCTCTTACCTCGTAAGTGCTAGTGATGCCAGATCTGTAGAACACAGGGAGAAAGAGCTCTGATGTAAAAATGATGACAAATGTATATGAGATAAAGAAAAGAATGAAGGATGCCCCAAAGCGGTAGACCTCGGAAGGTGTCCCCAAGACAGTGACAGCTGACATGAAACTGGCCGTCAGAGATAAGGCTACAGGGCCAAAGCTCATTTGCCTTCCCCCTACCAGGAACTCCCGAGATGTTGCCTTTTTTCTCTCCTTAATGGCAAAGAATATTCCGATTCCACAGGAAACGACAAAGAGGGCTGAAAATACAACATAATCCCAAACACTGAAGCTCTTTGCCTCCATGCTGGGAAGTATGATGCTGGAACGTTGCTTTCAACCAGGTCTTAGCAAGAAGATGTTTCCAAAAGCAAAGTTCTGTACAGCAGATGTTTTCCTGAGAAGAAGGATAGTGATTCCCTGAAGATGAGTACCACAGGTACTATGCTGATCTTCAGACACCAAGTCGAACTCAAGGCAGATTTCAAAAGTTAACTGCCAAGAACTGGCCGTGGAATTGGTACCAAAAGATAAGAATTTGAAATCTGACCCTAGCCAAGAGCTGTCTGCTCCTCTCCTGAAGCATATGCCACAGAGAAGGAATTCAGATGTGTTCTGAAATTAATAACCACTGGGGGTGGAATGGACTTGCCAGATAACGTGATCTTTTTATCTCTGAGGTTTTTTTTTTTAACTTAAGGTTAAACATTACTGGGAATCATGGAAGTGATAAAAGTTGACCATCTCAGCGTTTTTAATTAGTGAGATGGAATCTGCAAAACACAAGCACAGTGCTCAGTAGTGTCTCTTTCCTGATTAAGAGGGTGGAGATGCTTACCTGCAATTGCCTGAGGCAGTGGGTATGAAGGGTAAGGAGCAAAGAACTGGGAACCCAGAGACCTTTGCTCAAGTCCTGACTCAATCACAAGTGAATTATTTTTGGCAAATCATTTAACTTTTCTGGTCTTTACCCAGAGCATTGGGATAAGACCTTAAAAGGTTATTAGGACTCTTGAGTCTCAAACTGTCTGCCTTTCTTTGTCCAGATGTTTAAAATGAGAGATAATAAATTTATCTCATGAGCTATGATTTGTGATTACGGTGGAGCACTCCTGAGCACTGTATTCTCTTGATTCTAGGACTCAAAATACGGATCTTACAATAATTGATTATTTATGACCTCCACTTTGTCTCCTTCTCGCCTCCATTTTGACTGTTTTACCAAATTTGTTCCCATTGGCCAAGTTAGAGTTAGGACAAGACAAATGGGAAAAGAATGGGGGAAATCCAGTTATAGATTCCTGATTTTGCTCTTCTTAAATTCAGTGTTGATTGCTCAGGAACACATCCAGCAAGTCTTTTGGGACTATTTCTCTATTCTGTTCACACTTCCACCCAACCTCAATGATTCTCTCTATCTCTGCAAACCTGTCTAGGATACAAGATCTAGTTCTCAGTCTCCTCAGTCTGTTGTATCCTTTCCTGTCCCTCAACCTCACTTCCCAAATCAGCTTTTCTTAGTACTCACTTTGAATTCAGGTTGAACTCCTCAATCATCCACATTTATTTTAAGCAGTCTCTAAGTGTGTGTTTGTAGGAGTCTATCACACGTTACAAATGATCATTTCCTTAGAGACAGAGGCAAAGTTCTAGTCCACATGCCCAGTAAATAGCAGTCATAGAAAGTAACCAAAAACAAAAATGTAGAAAATTAAAATATCAGTAACACTCAAAGTCAGAAACACTTCCAAACACAGGAAACTTTAACCCTTCCTTCCTTCCTTCCTTCCTTCCTTCCTTCCTTCCTTCCTTCCTTCCTTCCTTCCTTCCTTTTTTTCTTGGTACCGGGAGTTGAATCCAGGGATACTAAATCACTGAGCCACATCCCTCATCTTTTGTACAGTTTATTTTGAGACAGGGTCTCACTAAGTTGCTTAGGGCCTCAATAAATTGCTAAGGCTGACCTCAAACTTGTGACCCTCCTGCCTTAGCTTCCCAAGTCATTGGGATTATAGACATGTGCCACCATGCCCAGCTGATTTTTCTTCTGACATCTAGATAACCAAATAGGTCTTAGATTATTTGTATAGTCTGGATACCACCTTCACTTCCTAATTTGTCCCACAGATTTGCATTAGGTCTGAGAAAGTTCTACAGTCTGAACCATGCTTTCAGTCACAAATGAAAATGAAGATTTCTGAAGCGCTCTGTGTCCTGTTATTTAACTGTGTCCTGTTATTTCTTCTCTACATTTATGGAATTAATGTAATCTGTGCTAATGGGAAACTAGCTTTTTACTATATTTACCTTAATCTAGGCTTTTAATAATTTTTATCACGAGTTCAGCATATCACATTTTACTACATTTCATTTTATTGGCAGATATTGTGTCTTTTACAACTTGAAGGTTTGTGGTCACTGCCATCAAGTGAGTTTACTGACATGACACCATTTTTTCTAATAGTGTGTCCTTACTTGGGGTTTTTGTGTCATATTTTGAAAACTGTCACATTATCTCAAACTTCATTGTTTTTACTGTGGCTATTGAGGTAATCTGTGATCTAGGATCTTTGCTATCCCTCTTGTAATTGTGGTGACATAAACTATGTTTATATAAGACCATGAATGTGATAAATGTGGTTAGGTGTTCCGACTCTTCTAGCAACTGGCCATTTCTTCCTCTCACTCTTCCTCCCCATAGGCCCCCTATTCCTTGAGACACAACAATATTAAAATTAAGCCAATTTGGGCTGGGGATGTGGCTCAAACGGTAGGGCGCTCGTCTGGCATGCGTGCTGCCCGGGTTCGATCCTCAGCACCACATACAAACAACGTTGTTGTGTCCGCCAATAACTAAAAAATAAATATTAAAAAAATTCTCTCTCTCTCCCTCTATCACTCTCTCTTTAAAAAAAAAAAATTAAGCCAATTAATACCCCACAATGGCTTATAAGTGTTCAAGTGAAAGAAACAGTCACACCTCTCTTTGCTTTAAATCAAAAGCTAGAAATGATTAAGCTGAGGGAAAGGGGAATGTCAAGAAACAAGAGAAGCCAGAACTGAGACTTCTTGTGCAAGTTAGCCAAGCAAGTCTTGGATGCAAATGGAAAGTTATTGAAGGAAATTAGAAGTGCAACTCCAGTGAATGTTATAAATAAAAACAGACTTACTGCTGATGTGGAGAAAGTGTTAGTGGTCTGGATAAAAGATCAAACCAGTCACAATATTCCCATAACCCAAAGCCTAATTCAGAACAAGATTCTCTTCAATCCTATGAAGTCTGGGAGAGGGGCTACAAAAGAAATATCTGAAGTTTGTAGAAGTTGGTCATGATATTTAAAGAAAGAAACTGTCTCCATAACAAGGTAATGCAGTAAGTGCTGATGAAAAAGTTGCAGCAAATTATCTAGAAGATCAGCTACTCTCTTTGGTAAAAGTGGCCACACTGAGCAACCGACCTTAAGTGTGGACAATACAGGCTTTTATTAGAAGAAGCCATCTAAGACTTTGATAGCTAGAGAAAAGTCAGTGCCTAGCTTTAAAGCTTCCAAGACTGGCTGCCCCTCTTGTTAGGGGTTATTATAACTGATAACTTTAATTTGAAGCCAATGCTCATTTAGCATTCTAAAAACTCTTTGGAATCTTAAGATTATACTAAATACACTCTGTGCTCTGTAAATGAAACAACAATGCTTTGCCGACAAAGGTTTTTTGGGTTTTTTTAACAAAATGATTTCCTGAATGCATTAAGTTCACTATTAAGACCTACCACTCAGAAAAGATTCCTTTCAAAACATTGCTGCTTGTTGACAATGTATCTGGTTACCCTAGAGGTCTGGTGATATACAAGTTTAATGTGGTTTTTATTCCTGTTAGCACAACATGCATTCTGCAGTATGTGTATCAAGGAATGATTTTAACTTACAAATCTTATCATTCTGAAATAAACTTCCTAAGGCTATAACTGTCACAGATTGTTAATTATCTAATGGATCTGAGCAAAGAAAGTCAAAAACCTTTTGGAGAAGACTCACCATTCCAGATGGCCATAACATTCATAATTCCTAGGAGGAGGTCAAAATAGCAACTTTAAGAGGAATCTGGCCCTTAGTACAAAGGAAAAAAAAAAGAGGAATTTGGAAAGTTCCTTTAAACCCATATGGATGATTTTAATGAGGGTGGGTGCAGGGTTCAAGACATTAGTAGAGAAAGAGCTAGAATCTGAAGTGAAGCCTGGGGATGTGATTTAAGAATCATTGCAATCTAATGAAAAAAAATCTAAATGCATGAGGAATTTAGTTTCTTAAAATGGAATTCATAGTGTTGACGATGCTGTGCATTTGAAATGACAACCAAGGTTAAAGGGTTTATAATAATACTAAATAAATATAGTTGCTAAATTGGTGGCAGCAGTGAAGAGGATAGATTATAGCTTCAAAAGATGTTCTATTAATGTTAAAATATGATCAAACATCATTGAATGCTTGACGGAAATCTTCCAAGAACAGAAGATAATATATGTTCATTGACTTGCTTGTTGTCTTATCTTAAGAAATGTCTCAGGCACCACCATCCTGATCAGTGGCCATCAACATCCATGACAGAGCCTCCACAGTCAAAAGATTATGACTCCTTGAGGCTCAGATGATCATTATCAATTTTTATCAAAAAAGTATTTTTAATCAAGGTATGTATACTTTTAGATATAAAGCTATTATACAAGTTATAGACTATAATATTATATACACATAACTTTTATATGCACCGAAGAACTAAAAAATTTTGTGTGGCTCACTTTGCTTTATATTAGTTTTATTATCATGGTCTGTAACTAAAGCCACAAAATCTCTGAGATTTTATTATGATTATATAACAAGTTTTTCTTGTAGTGGTCTCAGCAGAAAATCCAACCCTATCTGGCTTCCAGAGACATGGGTTACTACTTTATGTTTAATATTAACCCCACATGAGTGTTAATATTCAATCCACAAGCCATGTAAACAACTTGTAAGCACTATCATTACATCAATGAGGTTCCAAGATTAAATGTTAGAAGCTTGTAGCTGAAGAGCCAATGAGTGCTGCTACTTTTAATTGAATTTCATGCAGAAACAGTACTACCTACATGACTCTAGTTAGTCTTGAATTTCAAAACAGTGGGAAGCAGAGTCAGAGAAATGAAGAATGCATCATGCTTCTCATAGAAAACAATGTCTTGCTTTCAATATTTTGCTGAGTACAAAGCACATAAATTTATTAGTCTAATTTGTAACTATTTTCCACATCTTTACCCTTTCCTCCTTATGGTAGCTGCTGGTATTCTCTAACTCTCTTCTTTACTATTAAGTCTCACTCCATGCAAGTCTTTTGCATAGCATCAACTTATTAATAATTTCAGGGGAAAACAAAAAAAAACAGTAAATTAAATGGCTGCATCAGTTAGAGGGTATGTCCTTATTTCAGAAATGTTAACATAGGAAAAAAGAGTAAAGAAATGTGCCTCTTTGACCTGAAGAAACCCCACTATCTTCTATACCTTCTTATAGGTACCCTCAATCCCTACATTCATGCTTTATGCCTTCC